CAGTTTGTAAGTGATTGGCACTTGTATAAACTGATTTCTTCAAGTATTGCCTCAATATTTCATTTAATGAACAGTTTGTATTTAACTGATCTAATCATTGCAATTATAAAAACTTGTATGTGGTATCAATCTAAATATTTCATGAAATGACATGCTTGTGTGTTAACTGGTCTAATTTTAATCACTGGAACATGAGTTAAAGTACCAAAATTCTGATGTTTACAGATCACCCTAGCAGTAACTAATGTAAATATTTAGTGACTCAAAATGGCTGGAATGTACCACAGAACATGTAGACCACTGACCTTTATGAACTGGGAACCAGGACCAGCCAAAACTAGTTACTAATATATAGTGTCAGGTTCTAAATGCCAAGGTTAATCATTTTGATTGATTCTTAACCTTTTAATCTGTAATTTTTCAGTTTGTATATGATAGAAAAAAGAATATTATTTTTTGGTATTTTGCAGTAATCTGTTATATTGGTATAAAATCTCCAGTTCAAGTTTATATGGAAACTTAATGACACTATGGCTTAACCATAGCTGTTTTTAACAAATCTGGTAGTGAATACTACAAGTTATGGAAAAGGCTTAGCTTTATATAAAGTTAAGTTTTCAGTCAGTGGCGTGATTTTAGGTTTCTAGTTGTTCTTGTTGATAAGAAATAAGATTATTACCATAATCTCAAATAAATTTTTTTATTTCTGATGTTGACCGAATTTTAATCACAAATTGGTGTGTAGAATCATTAAACATAGAAGCAGTTTTCATTCATATCTTAATTCTTTCGGCATGGGCTCGGTCCCTGGGACCGACTTCGTAACCATTTTGTTCCTGTTATATTTTTCATGCTATAACTTTTAAATTAATTAGCATATATTCACAAAATTTAGCAGATTATCAGTAAACATTACAATGCTTTCATACACAAAATATCAGATTTTTTTTATTAAGTCTTAAGGTTTGTTAAGCAATGTTTTTCTCATGCCTTTTTCCTTTTTTCATGTTGCCTGTCCAACATGTAAAGTAATTTTCATTTTAAGAATAAAAATACTTTTATGTATCAGAAAATTTTCAAATTTCACAAACGAAATCTTTATAACATCTAGATAGTTCTCAAAACATTTCTTAAGAAAAATATTTATATTTTATCTGTTATTTTCACTAACGAATCTCTTTATGGGTTCAGTCGATTTGACCAATCTCATAACCACCATAAGAAATTAGGAAATTATGCCTCTTTCATTCTAGAATGACTACAGATTATAACACAAAAACATACATGTTTAAGAGTAAATAGCTGCAATCTCATAACATTATACATTTATATATATATTTATTGTTTTTATTATATTGACCTTTCAGCCATGCCTAGCTAACAAGACAGAAGTTACAGTGATGCGGCACACGTGCACTCATGTTACCGTATCCAAAAACATAAAACTGACCTTTGGTCTATACAAAGTAACTTGTCTTGGCTGTGTTTTAGTAGACTAGTATTTTGT